TTAATTCACATTTTTAATTTAAGTATAGTTGATTTACAATGTTGTGCTAATTTCTGCTGTACAGCAAAGTGATTCAATTACATATATATATATATATATACACACACACACATTCTTTTTGTTATATTCTTTTCCATTATTGTTTATCATAGGATATTGAATATAGTTCCCTATGCTATACAGAAGGACCTTGTTGCTTATCCATTCTATATGTAATAGCTTGTATCTACTAACCCCAAATATCCAGTCCATCCCTGCCCCACCCCCTTCCCCCTTGGCAACCACAAGTCTGTTCTCTATGTCTGTGAGTCTGTTTCTGTTTTGTAGAAAGGTTCATATGTGTCATGTATTAGATTCCACATGTAAGTGACATCATATGGTATTTGTCCTTCTCTTTCAGACTTACTTCACTTAGTATGACAATCTCTAGATCCATCCATGTTGCTGCATTATTTCATACTTGTTTATTGCTGAGTAGTATTCTGTTGTATATATGTACCACGTCTTCCTCATCCATTCATCTGGCAATGGACAGTTAGGTTGCTTCCATGTCTTGGTTATTGTAAACAAAAGGCACTGGATTTCTGAGTCTAGACAAGATGATTCTTCCCCTGTGGCCTGGGGGCCAAGTGTGGGGAAGGGGACCATTAGGGAAATGGTTATCAGGACAAGAGTGAGTAAGTGAATGGGTGCCAAGCAGCAGAAACTGAGTCATTTGCACAAACTCAAAGATTCCAGTGTAAGCACATTAAAAGGGGCAGAAGACGTTACAGGTCAAATGTTCCTCATTAGGCGGTTGGAACCACCATTCCTCAGTTACATAATGTCATGTGGGTCAGTGAACACAGCTGTTCAATAAACCAAGCCCTTGGGAGCTTAATGAGTTAACACGATAAATGGGTGCGCATCCCAATGTAGCTATAGTGTTTTTCAGTGCATGATATAGGCCACTGATTTAGCCATTTTATAAAAATAAGAATATTAGAATTTTCTTTTTTGTTTAATATACACTAAGGTCTCATGTGTCCAATACTGGGCACTGGAGGTGCACTTTCCAAAATGTACTTCTTGAAGTGGCCTAGACTTTCTCAATTTCAATGATTTTACTATAAATCCCCCTGAAACACATGACACATTTCCCCATCTTAATAACCAGACCACTGAACACAATCTAACCTGACATTGGTCTTCTCTGCTCTACTACAGTGATGCCCTCGGGGGATGCTGAGGTGTATAGCACTGTTTGCCATTATACCGAATGGCGCCGTATCACCCTGCTTCCTTTGTTGGATGCTGTGGGATTGAGGACAAATATGACCTAATCTGGTCTGGAGTGTCTGAAAGGTTTCTAGGCCCTAGACTCACCAGTGTAATGCACACCTCTACTACTTGTCATAGTTGATCTTAATGTATTTGCAGACTTGCAAGCGTGAACCTAGTACATCACATGATTAAGAGGCTTTCTAAAAAGGAATGACAATTCTCTCTGACTCTAGTTTTCTTAATGCACATAACTTTCCTGATTGCACCGATGTAAAAATAACACAGGCCCTAAAGAGGAGGTCTACAACCATAAACAGAATCCTGTGCCTCTAAACAACACTTAGCTTCTGAAACTTGTGCCAATAGGAAGTCAATCGTCAAAGATGCATCCCCCCAAAAAGGCATACTCTCCAACACCAAGAAGTAAGGGAGAGGGAAAAACCTCCCAGAAGGCAGAGCTGGGCCTCAGAGAGCTATGAGATTTGAGAGACTTGAGCTATGAGAGAGATTTCCTCCCAAAGAGTATAAACAAATGTTAATGAAGGAATCCTCCCACTTCGAGGGTAGAAGAGCATCCCACTGTGTGTCCAACATTGCTATGAACCGGTGACTGTTGTGTGTCTCCCATTCTTCTGAATGAGAATTTTTATTGTAGTGTGACTTCACTACTTCACTAGTAAATGAGGGCAGATAACTCTCAAACTCTTTTTCAGCAGAGCTGGGAGAGGGATGCAATCTACAGATTCCACAATATACGTAAGGATTATCAAAAGAAGATGAGATTGCACAGAAGCAATATGGGAAAATAATACAGAGAAGAAGTACAGAGAATGATGAGAGGGTCCATAGGTGGCAACTCTCAGAAAGTCCCTGCAAAAATCCAGTTATGAAAGTGAGTGTCTCACCTTGAACTTCAAAAAAGATATCCCTATATGTACCAAGTATGGAATGTAGGGTGAAGAGGGAGAGCAGCAGAAGCCCCCCTAAACTTGATCTGATCCAGAAAAACAGAAGAGGCAGAGCTATACAGAGAATAACACAGATGGGCCATATTTGCAGGAAGCACTCTGTCTCTCTGACAACAGGAAAGAGGAGAGTCTTGGCATGTGCTACCAGAAAGGTTACCTGCTTCTCCCTGCTCTGCTCTCCCCAGCCCATGGAAACGTTCAGCAGAGAGCTGGTCCAGGAATATCCAGTTCATTTGGCATCAAGTATGTGAAAAAGAAACTGGCCCAGGGACTTCCCTGGTGGCGCAGCGGTTAAGAATCTGCCTGTCAATGCAGGGGACACGGGTTTGAGCTCTGGTCCGGGAAGATCCCACATGCCACAGAGCAACTAAGCCTGTGCGCCACAACTACTGAGCCTGCACTCTAGAGCCCACGAACCACAACTATTGAGCCTGCACGCCACAACTACTAAAGCCCGTGCACCTACAGCCTGTGCTCCGCAACAAGAGAAGCCACTGCAATGAGAAGCCCATGCACCGCAACAAAGAGCAGCCCCTGCTCGCCATAACTAGAGGAAGATCACACACAGCAATGAAGACCCAACGCAGCCAAAAAAATAATAAAAAAATTAAAAAGAAAGAAACTGGCCCAGCATAAATATAAAGCTTCCGTTTTTAAAAAATGTGAAAGAGCAGCAAAACTTACCAGTGAATGTGAGACACTCAGCAGAAAAATGTTGCCCCAACCAGACGAAAAGTGTAAACAACTATGAAGTAATCACCTCTAAGAATCATCACAGAGAAACCACAAAGATGCAAGAAATCAGGGAGGAAATGGTGAGATGACAAGTGCAGATGAAATGTGAGGCGAGCTAATAGGATGCAGGGAAAAAGTAGGAAAGAAAAAAGTCCCCTAATGCTCATAAAAATGAAAACAAAATCAGAAGAAGCACATGGCAGAGTAGGCACTGTGAAAAAATAACAAAAAAAAGAAGATAATACTAACAAGTTGAAAACCAAATTTTAAAGATAAAAAGGAGTAGAGGGAAAACACTAGACATAGAAGACAAGCAAAGAAGTGATGATAGATGTATAACTGGAATTCCCAAAGAACAGAACCAAAATCATACAGCAGAGAAAATGTTTAAAAATAGCAATCAAGAAAACTTTCCTGAAATAAAAGGGACAAAACCTGGTAGTGTTATCAGATGAAAGATAAAGAAATAATCTTTTGAGTAGCTGAGCAGAAAGATCAAGTCACTTGTAAAAGGGAAAAAATTGTCTGGCATCAGGTTTCTCCACAGCAACATAAGCATTGGGAGAAAGTGGAGATCCAACAAGATCCTTAAGAAAGAACATGTGAGTCAAGGGTTTCATTTCCAGCCAAACTGCCCTCCAAGTATAAGACCATTTTGAACAACACAAGAACCCAGGGAATATTGCTCCCTGGAGCCATTCTTAAGGCAACTACCTGAAGAAGATTTTTAGCCAAGCAAGTGATGGTGACAAAAACTATAGCAAAACCGTGATGAAAACCAGGGCTAGAGATGAACAGCGACAATACTTAACTGTAGAACTATGACTAAAACAAATGGGAGTGCCCAGGTAGCAGAACAGAATAGCAGAATGTGAAATATACACCCTGATGTTACAGAATGATACAATGAGTAATAATTGATAGTGGAAGAAGAAAAGAAGTTGAGATGCTGAGTAAGTTCCCTGACTGCATTATATATAATAATTGAGAGCCAAGAGTTATTAAAGTGGGCAATTCTTCTAATAGAAGCCTAAGCATATTTAATAATGTAAAAGTAAACATTAAAAGGATGGTGTCAACTAAAATTGTGTGGTGGAGAAAGAGAAGAGATGTCATCACCCATAATAAGGAACTAATAGATACTACTTAAAGAATAGAACACTAAGGTTATTATATGCGATTATAATTATAAAGTTAACCCCTATGACAAATCGTTTAATCCCTATGGCAAAAATACAAAACTCCCCAAGTATAAGAAAAAAGACACACACAAAAATTGACAAAAGACAAAAATTGGTGCAGGAAGGAAGTAATCATAGCTCGCCTTACGATCAGTTGGAAGAGGAGCATTTACCTAGCAAAATAATGCAACTACTCACATTCACTTTTGATCTAATCAAACTATACTGGGAAGGAAAGAGGACAGGAAGAGAGCTCTTCTACAGTGGGGCGGGGAGGAAAAAGAGAACTGATTCCTCATCTTCCACAATGGGAAGTCAAGAAATCACCTCTAAAATAAAATTCGGGAAGTGTAGTACCAATGTGACATTTAAAGACATGGAGATGAATATCAAAATAATCATGCAAAAGAAATGAAAGGGGTTGCCCCAGGGGAGGTGAAAAAGAGGAGAGGGGCAGAGACTGCTGTTTTACATAACAAACTTTGTGGAACACAGTTTGGCTGTTTAATGTATAACGTCAATAAAAAGTACACTTTTTAAAAAAGAATTTGAGCTCAACTGAGCAATCAGAGTTCAACTGATCGTTCAGAGGTTCATTTTTTACCCTAACCTTTCCATGAGGTCCTTTCAAACGAAAGTTTCCCTAGTCTTTCATTTTGAAAAGTGAAATTCTTCATTCTGCTCTGCCTTTTATTGAAAGCCACCACACAAGTACTGCATTAATCTGACAGTGTTTCCTCAGCCTCCTTTGAACCTCCGGCTGCCATGTATTCTATGAGGACAAAATGTTGATTTTAGTGCCATTCCTCAGGAGGGCCTGCAGAGGAAAAGATACTTGCAAATACATTGATACCTATGGTGGTGATGACAGTTCCAGCAAAGAAAAAGGCACTTCCGAGGTCCCAGTGACTGCTGTTGTTAGAAGAGTTTCCTATGGGGCTTACTCCTGCGTTGTCAGCGTCAAGAGCATGCTGCAAGGAAAGTGAGAAAGCATGAGGTTCAGTGAAAAAGCTTACCAAGGGGCTTCCCTGGTGGCACAGTGGTTAAGGATCGTCTGCCAATAAATCCAGGAAGATCTCACGTGCCGCGGAGCAACTAAGCCCATGCGCCACAACTACTGAGCCCGCGTGCTGCAACTACTGAAGCCCACGTGCTGCAACTTCTGAAGCCCACGTGCCTAGAGCCCATGCTCCGCAACAAGAGAAGCCACCGCAATGAGAAGCCCACACACCGCAACGCAGAGTAGCCCCCGCTCGCCACAACTAGAGAAAGCCCGCGTTCAGCAACAAAGACCCAAGGCAGCCAAAAAGAATAAATAAATAAAATAAATACGTTTTTTAAAAAAGATTGCTTTAAAAAGTAAGAAATGAGTGAACAAACAAAAGTAATAAATGTAGGCACATGAGCTTCCCAAAGGTGTGAGAAGAAAGCAATTTAAAATAAGTTTATAAAAAAAAAAAGCTTACTAAGATTTCCTTGCTCCAGAACCTGCAATGATCTATAAAGGACTGGTTACGTGGATGAGGGTACCGTCATACGATGAAATACTATTGTTACAGAGAAAAGCACAGGCCCAAATGGCACCACTTGTGCTAAAGTCCATGGTATCAAAGCTGCACTTGATACCTGACTTTACTGCAGTTACGACCTTCCCCAGAAATGTAATTTTTTTTACTATTTATTCTTTTCTTTTAGTGAAGTATAGTTGATTTACAATATTGTGTCAGTTTCAGGTGTACAGCAAAGTGATTTAGTTATTGTTTTTCAGATTATATTCCATTATAGGTTATAACAAGATACTGAATATAGTTCCCTGTGCTGAATCCTTGTGCTTCTCTATTTTATGTATAGTAGTTTGTATCTGTTAATCCCATACTCCTAATTTGTACCTCCCTCCCTCTCTCTCCCCTTTGGTAACCGTAAGTTTGTGTTCTGTGTCTGTGAGTCTATTTCTGTCTTGTATATAGACTCATTTGTATTATTTTTAGATTCCATATATAAATGATATCATGTAGTATTTGTCTTTCTCTGTCTGAGTTACCTCGCTAAATACAATATTTTCTAGTCTATCCAGAAATGTAATCTTAATCAACCAGTCTGGAATTTTCTGGTCAGCACCAATGAGGCAGCCTGTCTCATGGACCTGCTCCGTCACCCAGAGGAAAAGAGGCAATGTGCATGCTAAAACCCCTGCTATTCCTTCCCCCCTCTCCCCTCAAAGATGTCCTGACCTAAAATATAATCGTTTCTTTTCTTTTGATAATAGCTCCTTTGCCCCACTCTCTTCCTATAAAAACCTTCCATTTTGTACAACCCCTGGGAGGACCCCTCTAGCTGCTATATGGGATGGTGCCTGATTCATAAATCATTGAATAAAGCCCATTAGATCTTCAAATCTACTCGGTTGAATTTTGGTTTTTGTTTTAATTTTTTGGCCTCGCCGTGTGGCACACAGGATCTTAGTTCCCTGACCAGGGATGGAACCCACGCCCCCTGCAGTGGAAACGCCAAGTTTTAACCACTGGATCACCAGGGAAGTCCCTGAATTTTGTTTTTTAACACTATACATCCACTTGTTAAAATTAGAAAATTAGTTTTAAATTGGGGGGAAAAATCCATATATAGTATGTTGCCATTTATGTAAAATTTGCAGACATAGGATTTACCCAATCCTGGCAGAAGTTATGCAAAACGCATACATCTTGTTGTGCATATACATAGAAAGATGTCTAAAAGGACTGGCACCCAAAGTGGTCACTCCCGGGAGGCAGGGTTTCAGTTCCTTTTCACTCTCTTTTTTTCTGTTTTGTTGGAATGTTTTACACTGAGCTTGTTTCAGGAGTTAAGAGCTTGGGCTCCTGGGTCAGACTGTCATGGTTCTGCTCGTTAATCACCTCAGACACTTGGGCAAGTTATTTTTTTTTTTAATGTATCTTTTTTTTTTTTTACATCTTTATTGGAGTATAATTGCTTTACAATGGTGTGTTAGTTTCTGCTTTATAACAAAGTGAATCAGTTATACATATGTTCCTATATCTCTTCCCCCCTGCGTCTCCCTCCCTCCCATCCTCCCTATCCCACTCCTCTAGGTGGTCACTAAGCACCGAGCTGATCTCCCTGTGCTATGCAGCTGCTTCCCACTAGCTATCTATTTTATGTTTGGTAGTGTATATATGGACTTCAGGATATGAGGAGGCGGAAGGGTAAACTGTGACAAAGCGAGAGAGTGGGCAAGTTATTTTAACCTCTCTAAGCCCAAATTTCCTCATTTGCAAACTGGAGATAACAATGCTTTCCCCCACAGAGTCGTTGTGAGGATTAAATGAGACGATTCATGTAATACGCTGAGCCCAACGCCCAGCACTGTGTCAGGGTTTAACAAATAGTTGACAATTTTGTGACTGTCATTTCACTGTCCCCCAACACACACACACACACACACACACACACACACACACACACACACACA